TTACAGGATTTTCACAAAGGGTGGCGATGAAAAATTTTCCGCTCCTTAGGGGGACGGCAGCTTCAAAAAGGTTGAGAATCACTGGTCTATGGGATTGGTTTAATACATCTACAAGGCCTTGGACAGTGTAAATGAAAATAGGTAGGATGTGTGTGGGAAAAGAAGAGAGGTAAGGTGATGGAAGTAGGATGCGTGTCCTCATGATCTTATGGATCATCTTCATTCTGACCTCTGAAATATGCCTAAGAGATTGGGGAACACCACCAACACACTGTATTGTTATTTGAAAAGCAGGAACTCAGTGTATTTATGTATGTTCCAATGTTGAGCATTAGAGAGAAAACAAATGTGAAATCTGATTCTTTCTGTAACATTTTTAAAAGCTCTTGTCCTCTTTATATATCTAATTATGAATCTAATTCTAATTAAAACCTGACAAATGTGCAAACACACATTAAAGTCTTCTCAAGGTCTGAACTTGTAAGTTCATCATTAATAGCTTGTACAATTATAATGTAGAAAATGTTTTTACCTTTAAATACAGATTTGTCATCATTTGTAGTATTAAACATTTAAAGGCAAATCCAGTTATTCATAAATAAGTTTCAAGAGCAACATCTATCTCAGACATATCACTTAACACCAGAAAAATTTTCACGTATTGTTTTCTGAATCATAAATACTTACAGAAAATAATATTTCCCAAAGAAAAATGTAATGCTTAATAAAAGAACTTTAATGGATTTTCATTTTAGAAGACAGTCTGACATACTTTTTCCTTACGTAATTACATTATACAGGAATGTTATCAAATTGATTATGAATAAGTGTATTTATAAAAGAGAGAATCTGTCTTCTGTTTCCCAAATACATCAGACACATGTGCATACTGTTTTATGCTCTCAAACCCTTTGATCGAAATATATCTACTTTTAAATGTATTTAATTCCCACTTGGGTTGTGGCTTGCATATTTTTCTGCCATGACATACAAAAATACTTTGAACTTGATCCAAAGATCTGGGAACACTCTGAAGTTGGACATAAACTCTTGGCAAGCAGAGGCAGAGCCCTTAGTTTGGGTAATGGGAGAAATCACAGTAAGAGTGGGCGCCCAGAGCTGTCCTTCATGGAAAGAAGTGGGGAACTCTATACACCCTAAACTCATCTCCATATGCTTGGAAGTAGAACGATGTGGTGTCTCAGCAAGCTGCCTATGGGGTGGGGAAAAACTCCATACGGTGAAACTATGTTTCTGTCTATTATGATCAAAAAGTGGGGTATCATATGAACCACAACCTTGCTAAATTCACTTTAGTATTGGTAAGTTGCCTTATAGCTTAGGGCAGTGTTGTCCAAACTTGGCCACTTTAAGATGAGTGGAGTTGAAGTCCACTCATCTTAAA